AAAAAAAAAAAAAAAAAAAAAAAAAACGACGGAGAAAGAACTAACGTGAAGAAATCGAGCTTATGAAAAAGAATAAATAAATATACACGAAATGAAAAAAAGACGCTGGAGAACATATTTCAAAATCGCAACAACATTGTACAGCGCTCGAACATCGTGTAAAAAATTTTTAGACGATCTAAAATTCACCATAACGGGCAACGATAGCTATAAATCATTTGTACCTTTCCAGCATTATCGCAGAATGTCACCGAGTCCATTGAAATCATGCAATAGTATTTGCACGCTATCAAACGTTTTCAGCACTTTCAACAATGTTATACAATATCGAAAATCGATAGACACTCTATCCGAGGAAAATTTCATGATATTAAAGCATGTCCTCTGTATATATGTGTGTGTGTCTGTGTTTTCTTTGCAACAATATCGTTAAGTGCACTGTCGACTCGTGACAGCAAAATACACGAATACTAGAGTGTGCTAGAGTTATTTAACTCAGAATTTACGTAAAAGATAGTTAACGATATTTTGCAGAAATTCCGAAAGTAACTAATGAGCCTAATTATTCAGCAAGCTTATATTAACGCCTAAGATATTCAACAAGATCACAATTGATACTAAATTTTTCTAGAATTCAAATTTTAGATATCTGGCTTGGTTTCAAATTGGTTTCAAATAGAAGAGCCCTTCTAATCTCATTACAGAGTAACTAAAATTTCGAAAGGAAGTTTCGATGCATCCCTGAAAATCCCCTACGATGTCGTAAAATTCTCAAATTTTCATCAAAAATTCCTGTGTGAGGATCTTAAATTTAATTTTGAGGACTCGTCATTTGCAGCCAGCCGCTGCTCGAAAAAGACAAAATTGCACGCGATCTGACGCACCGATTATCCCCCGATCGATCGATCCCCGTGCAATTTCCGCGCACGGTTCTCCAGCTTTGGCCACGTGCCCGAAATCATGCTCGCGTCCTCGTGGATCCACGTACGTCCCGTGACGACTATAAACGGATCCTCTCGGCTGTCAGCTCAACCGCACTACCGTCCGGAAACGATCACGAAGAAACTTCCCTTCGTTCACATCGGTAGTCGCGTCCGTGCGATCATTTCAATTATTACGGCGATTAACGGGGAATTCCGATTGCCAAATCGAGTCCCGCACGTTTGCTTGTCCCTTGGAACAATGACGGATGACCTCGTCGGCCGAGGATCGATCGGATGTTTTCGAACTGACAAGGTTTTGCGCTTGATAAAATAGGGTTTCGACAGTGGAACTCGACGTGACAGCTAGAACTACGAATTGTTAATCAGTTGAATATGGAAAATGGAATAATTATGGGATCGAGGATACTAATTTTTAGTGTGTTTTCTAGAGTGGGGTATTGTAATGTGTTTATTTGAATCGTAGAACGAACGGTTGATATTAAATTAATATATTTATCCTTAAACTACGAATTTATTACTATATTATATTACTATATTATTATATACAGTCATCTGCAGACGTTATTTATAATTCAAGTAAAAAGAACTCAATTTCAACTTAATTCTTATATGTAACTATATATTTTCTTAATGCTCTTAATGAAGTTTAAAAGGATTATATCGAAAAAAAAAGAATTGAAATAAGCAGTGTTTCTCGATTGTTGATTTTTCTATGGTACACTGCAACTGTAGTGGTTAACTTTCTGAGCATTCAGTTCGTAACAGAATATGTAACAGAATACAGATAATCTCAAAATAATTGATTTACTTATTAGAGGTTCGACGAGGATAACATATTACAATGCTGAACACTATCAAAAAGTGTATACTTAAAGATGACTATGAATTCCTATTTTGTTATATGTTCCTCAGTCGATAGTTTTAAACACTCAAAAAGTTAAGAAAGCCTCAAGTCACGGGAAAGAAAGAATTTTATATCACTCTTAATATCTCAAAATGATAAATATCCTGGTACATTGATGTATGTATATCAGGTTACATTATGTGAGAAAACCCTCTTTACATTCACGATACTTACTTACTGTCGGTTTAAAAGCAGCTTCATGTA